ATGTGATAAAAAACTCTGCTAGGATGAACAATGTAACAAAACTTAACATCTGATGTTGATTGCGGCTGGAGGAGCTGGAGGAGTAGTCAAGGGAGGCAAGCTCTTTGATTGGTCAGTGTCTTTTATATGTGTGTTCGGATTACTTCGTTCTTTCGTGAAGAGGTCTTCTTATGTTGTCAATTTTGATGGAAACGATCTGTAGTATTGTAATCTAGTCGAATGCTGGTGCTAGTACTGTCAAAGGTCATCTGGAGAGTAGTGATTGGAGCATGAGGATCCTTTACGGTTTGTAAACTTGACTCTACTGTCGATTATTGTTTTTGTACAGGTGTCGACATCCAGTGTTAGGTTCTTGGTCAGGAGTCGTATAAAAAGTTACTTCTTCCAGTGAGTATGGTCTGATGTTGGTACTTCTATATATACGTCGAGAATAGCTGGAGAGGTTTTTGTTGGTGGTTTGCCGCTTGAAGGTTCTTTCATGTTGGTGTCCTCCGCTAGAGAGTGTGTAGAAGATGTGGAGAATCGTGGCTTCTGATGTGTCCTATAGTAGTGTGGGTTGGAGGTGAGGAGGTACCCGCCACGCACGGCCAATCTACGAGCAGGACCGATCGACGAATAGGATGCCTGTATGGAGTGACCGTCACTAGGTGTTGGTTGTTGGAGCTGCTGATGCAGAAGTGTTGATTAGACCTGTGTTAAATTGATATGTCTTCTCGAAGGTGGAGATGCAGGGAAAATAACTGATGGCATATTATTTAGTGCAAATAACTCGTTGATGGTAAAGAGTTAAAAGAATCCAGGTACAGTCACATATCTGCACTGAGCGAAATAGACAGTAGTGGATCTTGGTTACGTCACAGCTGGAGGAAGTGATGTATGGTGGAGGCTGGCTAGGTGAGTAGCTGAAGTAATTTCGTAGTATTAGCTTGGATCTTTGCAATTGCTGCATACGTTGGTGTGTTGCTAGTAGGTTTTTTCTTTGCTGCTTCTTGTGTTTTCTTCACAATATCCTTACGTGTAGGACATTTTGCTGCCAGTGTATGGTGGTCGTTAGGTGAACAAGTGATAGCAATAACTACTTACTACTAGGTGAACAGGAGCAACAAGTGTCAGGAAACCTGCCGGGATTGATCCAGGTGAAACACTGAGCATATTACCACTGTCAGCCACTGAGTTACCAGACCTTGCAAAGTGGAGGCAAGTAGTTCGTCTTTAAGGTCCACTTACTGTGTTTTTGATGGTTTCCCCAGGTTCATGTGTCCCCTCAGATATTCTCCCTTCTTCACTTCCTATCCTACACTCAGTAATCTTGCAACTAAGTCTTCCCCAGGTTCATGTGTCCAGGAGTCCATCTGTGTCCCCTCAGATATTCTCCCTTCTTCACTTTCTATCCTACTCTTCCTATTCTAAACTTCCTATCCTACACTTCCCATCCTACACTAAGTCTTCCCCAGGTTCATGTGTCCAGGAGTCTATCTGTGTCCCCTAAGACATTCTCCCTTCCTCACTTCCCATCCTACACTTCCTATCCTAAACTTCCTATCCTACACTTCCCATCCTACAATTCCTATCCTAAATTTCCTATCCTACACTTCCTATCCTAAATTTCCTATCCTACACTTCCCATCCTACACTAAGTCTTCCCCAGGTTCATGTGTGCAGGAGTCTATCTGTGTCCCCTCAGATATTCTCCCTTCCTCACTTCCCATCCTACACTTCCTATCCAACACTTCCCCAGGTTCATGTGTCCAGGAGTCTATCTGTGTCCCCTCAGACATTCTCCCTTCCTCACTTCCCATCCTACTCTTCCTATCTTAAACTTCCTATCCAACAATTCCCATCCTACACTTCCTATCCAACACTTCCCCAGGTTCATGTGTCCAGGAGTCCGTCTGTGTCCCCTCAGACATTCTCCCTTCCTCACTTCCCATCCTACACTAAGTCTTCCCCAGGTTCATGTGTCCAGGAGTCTATCTGTGTCCCCTCAGACATTCTCCCTTCCTCACTTTCCATCCTACACTTCCTATTCAACACTTCCCATCCTACACTAAGTCTTCCCAAGGTTCATGTGTCCAGGAGTTCATCTGTGTCCCCTCAGATATTCTCCCTTCCCCACTTCCTATCCTACACTTCCTATCCTACACTTCCCATCCTACACTTCCTATCCTACACTTCCCATCCTACACTTCCCACCTTACACTTCCTATCCGAACTTTTGCATCTAAGCCTTCCCCGGGAATTCATCCGTGGGCCCCCGGATGTCTTCCCTTGAAGTCTGGTGATGCCTCACCTAGTCCTACCCCCGGTCCTTGGTCAGCAAGTCCCACCCCAGGCCCGTGGTTCCAGGTATACACCAGTCACCACTTCCCTGAGGTCAGCAAGTCCCACCGCAGGTCCGTGGATCCAGGTATACACCCTTCACCACTTCCCTGAGGTCACCAAGTCCCACCCCAGGTCAGTGGATCCAGGTATTCACCCTTCACCACTTCCCTGAGGTCAGCAAGTCCCACCCCAGGTCCATAGTTCCAGGTATTCACCCGTCACCACGTCCCTGAGGTCAGCAAGTCCCACCCCAGATCCGTGGTTCCAGGTATTCACCTGTCACCACTTCCCTGAGGTCAGCAGTCCCACCCCAGGTCCGTGGATCCAGGTATTCACCCGTCACCACGTCCCTGAGGTCAGCAAGTCCCACCCCAGGTCCGTGGTTCCAGGTATTCACCTGTCACCACTTCCCTGAGGTCAGCAGTCCCACCCCAGGTCCGTGGATCCAGGTATTCACCCTTCACCACTTCCCTGAGGTCAGCAATTCCCACCCCAGGTCCGTGGTTCCAGGTATTCACCCGTCACCACTTTCCTGAGGTCAGCATGTCCCACCCCAGGTCCGTGGTTCCAGGTATTCACCCTTCACCACTTCCCTGAGGTCAGCAGTCCCACTCCAGGTCCGTCGATCCAGGTATTCACCCTTCACCACTTCCCTGAGGTCAGCAGTCCCACCCTAGGTCCGTGGATCCAGGTATTCACCCTTCACCACTTCCCTGAGAGTCAGCAGTCCCACCCTAGGTCCGTGGATCCAGGTATTCACCCTTCACCACTTCCCTGAGGTCAGCAGTCCCACCTCAGGTACGTGGATCCAGGTATTCACCCGTCACCACTTCCCTGAGGTCAGCAAGTCCCACCCCAGGTCCGTGGTTCCAGGTATTCACCTGTCACCACTTCCCTGAGGTCAGCAGTCCCACCCCAGGTCCGTGGATCCAGGTATTCACCCTTCACCACTTCCCTGAGGTCAGCAGTCCCACCCTAGGTCTGTGGATCCAGGTATTCACCCTTCACCACTTCCCTGAGGTCAGCAGTCCCACTCCAGGTCCGTGGATCCAGGTATTCACCCTTCACCACTTCCCTGAGGTCAGCAGTCCCACCCTAGGTCCGTGGATCCAGGTATTCACCCTTCACCACTTCCCTGAGGTCAGCAGTCCCACCCTAGGTCCGTGGATCCAGGTATTCACCCTTCACCACTTCCCTGAGGTCAGCAGTCCCACCCCAGGTACGTGGATCCAGGTATTCACCCGTCACCACTTCCCTGAGGTCAGCAAGTCCCACCCCAGGTCCGTGGTTCCAGGTATTCACCTGTCACCACTTCCCTGAGGTCAGCAGTCCCACCCCAGGTCCGTGGATCCAGGTATTCACCCTTCACCACTTCCCTGAGGTCAGCAGTCCCACCCTAGGTCCGTGGATCCAGGTATTCACCCTTCACCACTTCCCTGAGGTCAGCAGTCCCACCCCCCAGGTCCATGGATCCAGGTATTCACCCTTCACCACTTCCCTGAGGTCAGCAGTCCCACCCCCCAGGTCCATGGATCCAGGTATTCACCCTTCACCACTTCCCTGAGGTCAGCAGTCCCACCCCAGGTACGTGGATCCAGGTATTCACCCTTCACCACTTCCCTGAGGTCAGCAGTCCCACCCCAGGTCCGTGGATCCAGGTATTCACCCTTCACCACTTCCCTGAGGTCAGCAGTCCCACCCCAGGTCCGTGGTTCCCGGTATTCACCCTTCACCACTTCCCTGAGGTCAGCAAGTCCCACCCCAGGTCCGTGGTTCCAGGTATTCACCCTTCACCACTTCCCTGAGGTCAGCAAGTCCCACCCCAGGTCCGTGGATCCAGGTATTCACCCTTCACCACTTCCCTGAGGTCAGCAGTCCCACCCCAGGTCCGTGGTTCCAGGTATTCACCCTTCACCACTTCCCTGAGGTCAGCAAGTCCCACCCCAGGTCCGTGGTTCCAGGTATACAACCCTTCACCACTTCCCTGAGGTCAGCAGTTTCAGCCAGCCTTGAAGCACTGTCCATATATGATATTACTACACAAGTGTATTAATATCAGTATACGAAGGTAGATGTTATTACAGAGGAGGACACGCAGATAATCTGCGCTCTGTAATAACATCCTCCTGGACAGACTCGAACGTCGACTACCTGAGACATGAGAGATCTCTATCACAGTTCGTCCACCAAGAACTGGCCACTAGTGAAAATCTGGAACATATATTTATATTTAATATTTTACTTATGTTAATTATTAGCTTGATTAATTATTTAGTTGTGTAAGTACATTTATGAACGTATTTAGGTGCGTAGATTAGTGTTGTTGTGTGAACGTTAGCGGCGCGTGACGCGTCAAGCGCTGAATTATACGGAAAATACGAAAAGAATTGAAAAATGAGTTAATGTTACGGAGAAAGAGCTCAAGAATCTGGTAATATTTTGGTGTATGTCTCGTCTTTGTACGATAATTCTCTAAAAAAGTTACCGTAATTATAATAAATGAGGTAAATGCGTAATTGTTGTGACGTATACCATAACAGTAATACATTTGTTGTTATTTTTAGACATTTCTCGTCATTTTTTGTTCATATTTTTGTGTCAAATGCTACAAAATACAAATTGGTAACTCTGTGAGTGGCTGCAGTTTGAGCTGCTTCAACCACACGAGTCTCAGTGCTGACTGACAGTCGCCAGGAGGAGGAGGTGTGTCGCTCTGAGTGACCGCAACAGACCCTAGTGACCCGTAATTTTGCCATATATTGTGCAAATTTCATACATAATGCGTAGCCCGAAGAAACAGTATTCGCATACGATCAGCCGGAAGCGATTAGAAATGATGAAAAAAAGCTAAAGAAATGAAGGCAGTAGCAGGTAGAACCGATGACTCGTGGTCGCCATCACAACACTTACCAAGACCAACACATTGTTTACTGCTGGGAAATAACTGATGTTTCTGAAACCCAGTCAATTGTTGAACAAGTAAAGCAAAGTGTAAGATGACCTGTGTAGCCAGCACCTCGATGGCCACCCCAGATGCCGGCAGCATCACCGTGGCCACCCCAGATGCTGGCAGCATCAGCATGGCCACCCCAGATGCTGGCAGCATCACCGTGGCCACCCCAGATGCCGGCAGCATCACCGTGGCCACCCCAGATGCTGGTAGCATCACCGTGGCCACCCCAGATGCTGGCAGCATCACCGTGGCCACCCCAGATGCTGGCAGCATCACCGTGGCCACCCCAGATGCCGGCAGCATCACCGTGGCCACCCCAGATGCTGGCAGCATCAGCATGGCCACCCCAGATGCTGGCAGCAGCACTGTGGCCATCCAAGATGTGGCCACCCCACGTGACCATGGCAGACCTAGAGGAATGAAGCGTAAACTAGGTGACTCATCTGTGGCCACCACCACCACCATTGTGGCCACAGTGACCACGCCTTCACCCATATATACATCTGTCTTGACCACACCTGTGGTTACATATGTGACAACCTCGCCACAAATAACCATATTTTCTGCGACCACCCCAGACGTGGCCACTCTAGACATGGCCACCCCAGATGTGGCCACCACTGTCCCCAGCTCAGCCGTCACCATCTCAGCTGACCACAGTTCAGCTGACCCCGTCTCAGCCGTCACCAGCTCAGCTAACCCCAGTACATCTACTGTCTACAGCTGGAGACGGTGAAATATTTGTTGAAAGTGCTAGTGTACATGATATATCAAGTGCTACATGGTGAGTGTCCTTATTGCAGCAATTAAATCCTGTTATAGAAGAAAAGCATATGATATTGATGGAACGTTGTAATTTTGAGGTTATTATGAAGTGTGTGTTTTGTTAAGAATGTTTTAGTAATAAAGTCACTTTTATATTTGATCACCATCACCTAGAGACACTTGTTAGTACAAACTGTACTGAGTGTAAGTATGTAGTGTTGGAAAAACCCAGTTGGTACGAGACACTGAATGCTGCAACTAGTAGGATGGTATATACTGAAATGCTTGCACATTATTTGATAGTCAACTACCAATTTGGTCACAGCATCAATTGTGGCACCAATGCCATAATTTGAATGATGGTCCCTTGTGTGTCAAGTTCCATCATATGTAACATCAATATCAAGAACTCCACTTTGGTCAGGTACACTGCCTACTTTGGCGTATTCCTGTGTAACAATTATTGCCACGTCCAACTTCGCACTTTTTTATGTTTATTTATTGGACGATTTTGATGTAACTTTTATTTAATATACTATGACATGCCTAGAGTCTGTGATAAAAATTCCAATGAAATCGTACGAAAGTCCAACCGTCCCACAGTGTTCCCTGCATGATAACTATAATTAACTGTTATCAGTTACTTTTTTCCCCTCGTCATGGTACACAATGGTTCACCAGCACACTCTTCCCTCGTCATGGTACACAAAGGTTCACCAGCACACTCTTCCCTCGTCATGGTACACTAAGGTTCACAAGTACACTCTTCCCTCGTCATGGTACACAGAGGTTCACAAGTACACTCTTCCTTCGTCATGGTACACAAAGGTTCACAAGCACACTCTTCCCTAGTCATGGTACACAAAGGTTCACCAGAAATCACTCCCTACGAAAGTAAAAGACTGGGCAGGCGATGCAAAATGCCCCCAATAAAAAGTAGGGGCGCCATTGGTACACTAAGGGAAAACACCATAAGTGTCCGGGGCCCAAAACTGTTTAACAGCCTCCCATCAAGCATTAGGGGAATTGCCAATAAACCCCTGGCTGCCTTCAAGAGAGAGCTGGACAGATACCTAAAGTCAGTGCCGGATCAGCCGGGCTGTGGCTCGTACGTTGGACTGCGTGCGGCCAGCAGTAACAGCCTTGTTGATCAGGCCCTGATCCATCGGGAGGCCTGGTCATGGACCGGGCCGCGGGGGCGTTGATCCCTGGAATAACCTCCAGGTAACCTCCAGGTAGCACACTTTTCCCTCATCATGGTACACAAAGGTTCACCAGCACACTCTTCCCTCGTCATGGTACACAGGTTCACCAGCACACTCTTCCCTCGTCATGGTACACAATGGTTCACCAGCACACTCTTCCCTCGTCATGGTACACAAAGGTTCACCAGCACACTCTTCCCTCGTCATGGTACACAGGTTCACCAGCACACTCTTCCCTCGTCATGGTACACAAAGGTTCACCAGCACACACTTTCCTCGTCATGGTACACAGAGGTTCACAAGCACACTCTTCCCTCGTCATGGTACACAGAGGTTCACCAGCACACACTTTCCTCGTCATGGTACACAAAGGTTCACAAGCACACTCTTCCCTCGTCATGGTACACAGAGGTTCACAAGCACACTCTTCCCTCGTCATGGTACACAGAGGTTCACCAGCATACTCTTCCCTCGTCATGGTACACAGAGGTTCACCAGCACACACTTTTCTCGTCATGGTACACAGAGGTTCACAAGCACACTCTTCCCTCGTCATGGTACACAGAGGTTCACAAGCACACTCTTTCCTCGTCATGGTACACAGAGGTTCACAAACACACTCTTCCATACGCTCAATTCTGTATTTCCACATATACATCTTACACACACTGAACGAAACAGACGCACGAACAAAGCAACACATACACATGTACATAACGTGTACAAACACAGACACTCCTTCAGCAGACACTGACGGGTCACCACACACCATCAGCAGACAGTGAGAGGTCACCACACACCTTCAGCAGACACTGATGGGTCACCACACACCTTCAGCAGAGGGTGATGGGTCATCACACACCTTCAGTAGACACTGACGGTTCACCACACACATTCAGCAGACACTGACGGGTCACCACACACCTTCAGCAGACAGTGACGGGTCACCCCACACCTTCAGCAGAAAGTGACGTGTCACCACACACCTTCAGCAGACAGTGACGGGTCACCACACACCTTCAGCAAACAGTGACGGGTCACCACACCTTCAGCAGACAGTGACGGGTCACCACACACCTTCAGCAAACAGTGACGGGTCACCACACACCTTCATATATATATAATATACAATTGCATACATCTTAAAGTACGTTCTTGTATGTATACATGCATACATTTGCCAGTGATTCCATCTGTGACCTTCAAACTCATTTACGAAACACGAGAAACAGAGATTATTATAATTTTTCTACAGTTTTTATGGAGGAGATTTAGTGATTCGCATTTGACACTCATCAATGTACAATAATATGTACGTTCATACACAATATGTGACGCTCATACATAATATTTGACAGTCATCAATACACAATAACATGTACACTCACACACAATTTGATAAATTAGACACATGTGTCTAATTTATCAACGTGTCGGTTCTGTGAACCATTCATCTACACACACAATTTGCGACGCTCATAAGCAATATGTGACACTCATACACATTACGTGAACCATACATTCATTCTTACAAAATAACATGTACACATGACAATTATCAACATACAATAACATGACACCTATTCACAATAACACGTAAGAATATGTACATAAGAATATGTACACAGGACACAGTCCTGCATTAGTGTCACAAACGTGTTCCGCCGGTGATCCAGTTCCCAGGCTCCTGGACAGGTCACTCATGAAGCGTCACATCACTGGTGATCCAGCTGTCAATCTCCTGGACAGGTCACTCATGAAGCGTCACATTACTGGTGATCCAGCTCCCAGGCTCCTGGACAGGTCAATCATGAAGCGTCACATCACTGGTGATCCAGCTGCCAGGTTCCTGGACAGGTCACTCATGAAGCGTCACATTACCGGTGATCCAGCTCCCAGGCTCCTGGGCAGGTCAATCATGAAGTGTCACATCACTGGTGATCCAGCTGCCAGGCTCCTGGACAGGTCACTCATGAAGCGTCACATCACTGGTGATCCAGCTGTCAGGCTCCTGGACAGGTCACTCATGAAGTGTCACATCACTGGACAGGTCACTCATGAAGTGTCGCATCACTGGACAGGTCACTCATGAAGTGTCACATCACTGGACAGGTCACTCATGAAGTGTCACATCACTGGACAGGTCACTCATGAAGTGTCACATCACTGGACAAGTCATACCCCTCAAGGAAGGTTCCTTGATGTTGGTGAGGGGCTCTTGATTTAGGGAATTGGATCTGTGTTCCAGTTCCCCAAATTAAGCCTGAATGCCTTCCACATCCCCCCCCCCCTCAGGCGCTGTATAATCCTCCGGGTTTAGCGCTTCCCCTTTGATAATAATAATAATAATAATAATGGACTAGTCATACTAAAAAAAAGGCTTTCTACGTAGGTGGAATGTGTCCATCTACTTATTGTTTTAGCAGCACAACTCACTTGGTGCTTAGTAGACAAAGTTGTAGTGGGTGATCTTGTGAGTGACGACAACGTTACCTTCTTGGAGTTTGAAGATGTTGCTACCCAGGTCAGTCTCAAGTTGAGGATTGACTGCAAAGTGGGACAAAGCATCTGTGACTTCGAGGAAGAACTTTCACACTCCCCATGCTGAAGTCTTACTGTATCCGCCTTAGAAAAAGATATCAGAGGAAACGTTTCGCCAGCCAATATATGTTCATTCCAGTAAAGAGATGTTACTACAATAAAGATACCCATGTGTTGCACAAAAGTCTCATTCATCCACTTTTTGCTTCTCTGAACCATTTATCAACAATAGTATCATAGTTTTTGAAGTTGTGGAAAACACGCAGAATCAGTGCTGCTCTTTTCTTAGTCTACGGGAGATGGTATTGACATGCATTTATATATAAAATTGTTTCCAGTATGAAGGCCACCACCCCATATACTTGCAGCTGGACCTACAAGGATCACAGCAACGTATGTGCAAATTAGGCGAGCTGACATGCCACATAAAAGCCCATCTCGCACGTTAATAAGAATTATCCCCTCAAGGAAGGTTCCTTGATGTTGGTGAGGGGCTCTTGATTTAGGGAATTGAATCTGTGCTCCAGTTCCCCGAATTAAGTCTGAATGCCTTCCACATCCCCCCCCCAGGCGTTGTATAATCCACCGGGTTTAGCGCTTCTCCCTTGATTATAATAATAATAATAATAAGAATTATGATGATGACAACCTTCTTTTCAGGTGGGAAGACCATGTTGGCAGTCTTGCTGGAGAGGAATTCGTAAAGATTTTGCTTGTTGTTTGGATATTTCAATAAGTCCTGCTGGTTTTCAGAGATTTGTTCTGGCCATCTACCTCTTTGTTAATGCTTTCGCCAATTATTCTGGTAGAGTTCACCAGTTGTTTAGTGATGTGTGGAAGGAAGATTCATCTGAATATGAGTGTTTGTGATTTCAAAATAGAATGATAGAAGGTGTAGGGCAGCCGTGCCACCTAAGGTATTAATATCAAATGAACATGGGAGATCTGTTGAAGAATTGAGACACTTATACAACACATGGGAATCTTTATTGAAGAAACGTTTCGCCACACAGTGGCTTCATCAGCCCAATACAAAGTAGAATTGGGTAAGGAGAGGAGAAGTTTGAGGTAATCAGTCTCTCAACCTGGAATCGATGTGTTCAGTCCATCACTCTTGTAGGAAGTGACGGTTGAGGGACTGATTACCTTAAACTTCTCCTCTCCTTACCCAATTCTACTTTGTATTGGACTGATGAAGCCACTGTGTGGCGAAACGTTTCTTCAATAAAGATTCCCATGTGTTATATAAGTGTCTCAATTCTTCAACTTGTCGGTTTTCAAAACCATTCATCACATGGGAGATCTGATGGCATAATTTCGTTATGTATCTTCTTCTGGCAGCTTAACACGTCAGTTATCCCAGACATAATTTTCCTGTCAGGTATTCTCATGCTTGATGACCTTTCCAAATTCTGTTTTTATGTTTTTCTTTTCAGTCTGGAGATGTCAGCACATGTGTTGTGTATAAAGATCTCACCATCAGTCATTCTGCGGTTAACGTCACTAACATCATATTTCTTCCCCATTCTAATGTTCAGTCTGAACAACAACTGAACGTCTTGACCATGTCTGCGAGCACTCAGGTACTGTCACCTGATTCACTGTTTGGGTAGTTTGTTTAAAGGTCAGGTATACAAGTGTACCCGATAAAGCAGCACCTGAGTGAGTGTATATGTCGTTCATAATAATCCGAATTAAGCTCTGCCCTAAATAATTAACTTCTCCAAAATGTTATTTTACGGATTAATCTGTTCCTCAGTATTCTTTATTGAAAATGATGGAAAAACAAATTCAATTTGGCATCAAGCCTAACTTAAGAGGCCTCACCTCACCTCACCTCACCTACCTCACCTACCTCACCTCACCTCACCTACTTCACCTCACCTCACCTCACCTCACCTAACCTACCTCACCTCACCTACCTCACCTCACCTCACCTACCTCACCTCACCTCATCTACCTCACCTACCTCACCTCACCTCACCTACCTCACCTCACCTACCTCACCTCACCTACCTCACCTCACCTACCTCACCTCACCTACCTCACCTCACCTACCTCACCTCACCTACCTCACCTCACCTCACCTACCTCACCTACCTCACCTCACCCTACCTCACCTCACCTACCTCACCTCACCTCACCTCACCTACCTCACCTCACCTACCTACCTACCTCACCTCACCTACCTCACCTCACCTCACCTACCTCACCTCACCTCACCTACCTCACCTCACCTCACCTCACCTCACCTCACCTACCTCACCTCACCTCACCTCACCTCACCTCACCTCACCTCACCTCACCTACCTCACCTCACCTCTACCTCACCTACCTACCTACCTCACCTACCTCACCTCACCTCACCTCACCTACTCACCTCACCTCAACCATCACCTACTCACCTCACCTCACCTCACCTACCTCACCTCAACCTCACCTCAACCTACTCACCTCACCTACCTCACCTCACCTACCTCACCTCAACCTCACCTACCTCACCTCACTCACCTCAACCTACCTCACCTCACCTACCTCACCTCACCTCACCTACCTCACCTCACCTCCCCTACCTCACCTCACCTACCTCACCTCACCTACCTCACCTCACCCTACCTCACCTCACCTACTCACCTCACCTACCTCACCTCACCTCACTACCTCACCATCACCTCAACCTCACCCTCACTACCTCACCTCACCTACCTCACCTCACCTACCTCACCTCACCTACCTCACCTCACCTCCCTACCTCACCTCACCCCACCACCTCACCACCTCACCTCACCTACCTACTCACCTACCTCACCTCACCTACTCCTCACCTACTTCACCACACCTACCTCACCTCACTACCTACTCACCTCACCTCACCTCACCTCACCTACCTCACCTCACCTCACCTACCTACCTCACCTCACCCACCACCACCCAAACCTAAAGTTAATTTATTTATTAATTAATATTTCGTGATTCCATAAAAATGTTCACTTGCTATTCGGCAGAAACGACACTTTCTATACTGCAGGTCGTTTTTATTTCGGTACGACATAATTAAAAGAAGACGATAAGTGGAAAGATTAATATTCTTGCTGTGGAGTATGTATGAGTGAGTGGGAAGTATAACATGGATGATGGCAGTGTACATAGTATGACATAAGTTGATGGAGAGTGTCATATAGGATTTGGAAGTGTCGTAGTATGACATAGGATAATGAGGATGTCAAGTAGACATAGGATATGAGGAGTGTCATAGTATGACATAGGATATGAGGAGTGTCAGTATGACATAGGATATGTGAGGAGTGTCATAGTATGACATAGGATAATGAGGAGTGTCATAGTATGACATAAGGTAATGAGGAGAGTGTCATAGTATGACATAGGATATGGGAGTGTCATAGTATGACATAGGATGAATGAGGAGTGTCATAGTATGACATTGGATGATGGGGAGTGTCATAGTATGACATAGGATGATGGGAGTGTCATAGTATGACATAGGATAATGAGGAGTGTCATAGTATGACATAGGATAATGAGGAGTGTCATAGTATGACATAGGATGATGGGGAGTGTCATAGTATGACATAGGATGATGGGGAGTGTCGTAGTATGACATAGGATGATGGGGAGTGTCGTAGTATGACATAGGATAATTGGAAGTGTCATAGTATGACAAAGAATAATGGGGAGTGTCATATTATGACATAGGATGATGGGAGTGTCATATAGGATGATTGCAAGTGTCAGTATGAATGATTTGGGGAGTGCATAGTATGACATAGGAGAATGGGAGTGTCTATATGACATTATGATGGGAGTGTCATAGTATGACATAGATTGATTGGAAGTGTCATAGTATGACATAGGATGATGGGGATTGTCATAGTATGACATAGGATGATGGAGAGTGTCATAGTATGACATAGGATGATGGGGAGTGTCATAGTATGACATAGGATGATGGGGAGTGTCATAGTATGACATAGGATGATGGGGAGTGTCATATAGGATGATTGGAAGTGTCATAGTATGACAAAGATAATGGGATGTCATATTATGACATAGGATGATGGGAGTGTCATAATGATGACATCATTAGATAGATGGGAGTGTCATAGTAGACATAGATGATTGGAGTGTCATATATGACAATATGATGGGTATGTCATAGTATGACATAGATTGATGGAAAGTGTCATAGTATGACATAGGATGATGGGGATTGTCATAGTATGACATAGGATGATGGAGAGTGTCATAGTATGACATAGGATGATGGGGATTGTCATAGTATGCATAAGGATTGATGGAGAGTGTCAATAGTATGACAAGTTTGGGAAGTGACATGTATGACATAGGATGTGGGGAGTGTCATATAGCACGGCATGACTCCTCACACCTCTCCCATGTCTTCAGGTCACCATGCGTCACTCACACCTCACTCTTCAGGTCCCATGCGTCACCTCAAACACTTACGCTACTTCAGGTCACCATGCGTCACTACACCTATCGTTCAGGTCACCATGCGTCACTCACACCTCACTCTTCAGGTCACCATGCGTCACTCACACCTCACTCTTCAGGTCACCATGCGTCACTCACACTTCGCTCTTCAGGTCACCATGCGTCACTCACACCTCACTCTTCAGGTCACCATGCGTCACTCACACCTCACTCTTCAGGTCACCATGCATCACTCACACTCTGCACTCCTTCAGTCACCATGCGTAATCACACCCATGATTCAGGTCACCAGCGTCACTCAAACCTCACTCTTCAAGTCAACCACGTGCGTCATGTACACTCACTTCAGGTACCATGCGTCACTCAACACCTCATTCTTCAGGTCACCAGCGTCACTCATACTCACTCTCAGGCACATGTGCGTTCACTCACATCTCACTTCAGGTCACCATGCGTCACTCACACCTCACTCTTCAGGTCACCATGCGTCACTCACACCTCATCAGGTCACCATGCGTCACTCACACCTCTCTCTTCAGGTCACCATGTGTTTCACTCACACCTCACTCTTCAGGTCACCATGCGTCACTCACTCACGACTGTTAGTACTGCGTCACTCAACCTCCCTTTCAGTGTCACCATGCTCACTCACACTTCAAAATCTTCAGGTCAACATGCATCACTCACACCTCACTCTCACAGTCACATATATGA